AAATGCAATAATTTGTCATTTAGTTTGTACGGGATGCCCTAGCATGTCCTAGGCCACTGGACTACTAAAAATTTTATTGATATGTCAAAGTCTTAAATCTCCAGAGGGTTTATCTGCCATTCTCTGGAGTGGCCTTTAGTGTACTTTCCACTCCCTGCTCATCTAGTCCAATGAAGATAAATAAAATGGATGAATATGATGTTCTGCAGACCTCCAGATGGTCCAGGTCCTGACAGACCATATTATAAGAGAGAGCAAGATAATTAATGGAGCCCATGTCATAGCCACAAATGTATACTGCTAGCCATTCCAACTAAATGTGAACTGTTTGTGGTCCCCCTTTCTTAAAACAATAGAGTCAATGACCATGTAAAAAGTACCTGAGTTCATACTGATATAGTTTACCTAAGATAACGCATTTGCAAAGAAGCTTCAACTGGGGTTACTACTTGATTGAATCCTTCAGGATCCATCAGACTTTTGTAAAGGCCAGCCAGATTTATTAAATGGGGGATGGAATGAAAGTTATCACCCTTGCATACTTTAGGTCTTTAGAAGTGAAATTATCTCTACTATTCCTTCTTAGATGTGACATTGTTTTTGAATTACTATTTGGCCAAGGTAGAAGAGTAGGGAAATTTCAGAGACTTCTATTTTGCCTTTCACAGTATGAGAGCTCTTACAGATTAAAAAAATCAATGTAAAAAATTCTGCCAGTTGTCAAGCATATCCATTGTAATCATACATTTAGGGAATGAGGAAATGATCACTGTATGGGAGTATGGATCCACTCTGAGCCAGACCTAGGCCAGAACTCCATTTATTAGTTGGCCTTATAAACCTATACTCTAACAGAGGCGACATTATGCTTTGGGTTCCTGGACGGTAATGTCAACTAGATCCTGTATCCCACAATCCTCAAAATATTTGGGTATTCTCATTTCCCTGGTCGACAATTATCAAGTAAATGGCTGAGTTCCTTTGGTGAAGGAATGAGGATATCATTAATTTTACATTTGCCATGGTGTTATAGGGTCCTCCCTAAGCATCTGGCCTCTCCCTGAAATAATAGGTTCCAGGTATGAAAACTAACATTCAGAAACTAGCTAAGGTATTGTGACTTTTTATCCAGGCAGCTGTCTTCAGTCTCCTAAGCATCCATTATTGATTTTGTTTTGTTGTATAAATTAAGCAAATACTCTTGCTGATTGCTCATTCTTGTCTCTAAGAATATGCGCTCTATAAATTACCCCATGCCTGCCTGCTGATATGCCGCCTGGCTTCCACTGACCTTATCACACATTACAATAATTATACCTTCCTAAGCCCTATGATTTCAAGATTCTATCATCTTTATTGATACTGGGGAGTTCAGCTCTGCTTCTCAGTGATGTTGGTGCCCTTTTCACCAGTATGTTTCTTATTGATTTGGTAAACTTAGAATCCACCAAATCCTTCCAGGACATATAGTCATACAGTGGCTTTTCTAGCCATATATAGTATTTCCACTCTACTATGCCCATTTCTCTGAGTCTTTGATTCATGCTTTCACCTGCTGACAAAGTCGCTCATGTGTTTACACTTAAAATCATTTTCTCCAAACTTCCAAAAGCCATCCTAGCAGTATTGTAGCCCTACTTCCCAGGGTCCTCCCCAGGTGTGAAATCCTGCAACACAGGAAAATGCTTCCATACCAGTAAGCGCTATCTTGTTTGAAATGTTGTGTTCTACTCTCTGTTCACAATTCAACACCCTCAGGATCTAGCCCCACACATATTATCCTGATTCCTGACAGTAGATATCAGTAGGTTCTCCATCTTCTTTGGGATATAGTACCTTTCTTCTTTTAGCTGACCCAGCACTTCCCCAGCTGGAATACATCATGACTTAACCCTAGTTATTGATCTGGTAGCCAAAGGGGAAGGTGGGGGTGGATCCTGAAGGGAATAGGGGAAAATCCATGTTATCTTGAAATTCAGAAGCCTCTGCATCATCAGGCAAGGAGAAAGGACTAGCCTTTAACACAGAGGAGTGTTACTAGAATACTTCTATATTCCCAGAGGGTTGAGAGCACAGAGACCAACCCCTTCCCCTGACCCAACCCCCCTGGCAGGCCCCAGTGTGTGCTGTTCCCCTCCCTGTGTCCATGTGTTCTCATTGTTCAGCTCCCACTTATAGATGAGAACACACGATGTTTGGTTTTCTGTGTTTTAACCCCTATCATATGCAGAGTTCTAAGATGGCTCCCAAGATTCTTGGCCCCAGTGAACACACACCTTCTGCCGGTTATTGAATCAAACGCTAATTCAAGTGCTGCTGTAAAAGAATTTTGCAGATTAATTAAAGGTCCAAATCAGTTCATCTTAAATTAAGGAGAGTCTCTGGGTGGGCCTGACCTACTCACAAATCCTGTGTTAGTCTATTTGTGTAGCTATGACAGAATACCTCAGATTAGGTAACTGATAAAGAAAAGAAATTTATTTCTTACAGTTTTGAAGGCTAGGAAACCCAAGGTCCGAGGGCCCACATCTGGTGAGGGTCTTTATGCTGCATCATTCCATAGAGGAAAGCAAGTGGATAAGAGAAGAAAAAGGCAGCCAAACTCATATTTTTTAACAGGAGCCCACTCCCAGGATAATGGCATTATTTCATTCAGGAGGGCAAAGCTCTCATGACCTAATCACCTCTTAAAGGTCCCGTCTCTCAACACTGCGGCAGCAGGGATTAAGTTCCCAACACGTGAACTTTGGGGGACACATTCAAACCAGAGCAAGTCCTTTCAATCTGGGTCTACAGGTCAGATTGAAAAGTAATACATTAAAGCATGAGATATTTTCTGTTACTGTCTTTGAAGATGAAGAAGACCATATAGCAAGGAATACATTGTGGCTTCTAGGAACTGAGGGCAGTTCCCAGCTGAAAGCAAACAAAGAAATGAGGACCTCAGTCCCTACGACTACAAAGAACTAAATTCTACAGCAACCTGAATGAGTTTAGAGATAGATTCTTCCCCAGAGGCTTGAGATAAGCACACAGTTTGGCCAACACCTTGATTTCAGCTTTGTGATACCCTGAGTAGAGAACATATCCACACTGTACCTAACTTCCAACCTACAGAGGTGTGAGCTAATAAATAATGATGTTTTAAGCTGCTATATTTGTGGCAATTTTTTATACAGCAATACAGATGCTCCTCAACTTACAATGAGATTACATTCCAATAATCTCATTATATGTTGAAAATAATACTAAGCAGAAAACCCATTTAATACATATAACCTATCCAATATCATAGTTTAGCATAGCTATTTTAAACATCCTCAAACACTTACCTTACAGTTGGACAAAATCACTGAACACAAAGTCCATTTGTCATGTAATTTATAGAATATTGTACTGAAAGTTAAAAAAAAAAAAAAGAATGACTCACTGCTGCTGCCCGGCATGCTAATTCATACTGCATATAGCCAGCCCGGGGAAAAGATCAAAATTCAAACTTTGAAGTACTGTTTCTACTGAATACATATCGCTTTCACACAACCACAAAGTCAAATAATCATAAATAGAACCATTGTAAGTTGAGGACTGTCGGTGTAATACCAAATACAGCCACCACTTTAATATCAGTGAGTTTGAAATCTGCTACCCAGAGGAGCGTCTCAAAAAAAGTGGCTCAAGATCTCCTTCCTAACTAAAAATGATCATCATTGCAACATGCTGGTCTTAACCTAATGTGAACTAGGTATTGTCTCCCACAGATAGCAGCAATTATGCTTGCAAGTAATCCTAATATTCCTTCAGTGATCAGTTAGGAAAAGAATTGAAACTGTATTTCTTAAAATAGTAGGTACGCTAGAATGGGGCAATAAACTGACAGCTTTTGGTTTTTAGCTGTGTGATTTACTCCAGAGTAACATCACTAACTAATATTTGTGGGTTCGGCCGGGCGCGGTGGCTCACGCCTGTAATCCCAGCACTTTGGGAGGCCGAGGCGGGTGGATCATGAGGTCAAGAGATCGAGACCATCCTGGTCAACATGGTGAAACCCCGTCTCTACTCAAAATACAAAAAATTAGCTGGGCATGGTGGCACGTGCCTGTAATCCCAGCTACTCAGGAGGCTGAGGCAGGAGAATTGCCTGAACCTTGGAGGTGGGGGTTGCGGTGAGCCGAGATCGCACCATTGCACTCCAGCCTGGGTAACAAGAGCGAAACTCCGCCTCAAAAAAAATAAAAAAATTGTGGGTTCGTACAATTTCCTTTTTTTGTGCATATCACTACATATGATGGTCAGGCTTTTAAAAGTATGACACTTTTGAAAACTATAAAACATTAAATATAAATTTAAGAAGTATTTAAAAAGTAGAGTGAAAGTTGGGGGAGGGGAGATAAATGGAAGAGAGTGGGAGAGGAGGAGGAGAAACTGGCCATTAAAAATTTAACCTGAAAAGGAGAATTATATTGATCCTCAACCTTTGCAAAAGTCCAATAAACATGGTCTTATTTATAAGTATCAACTTCTGAGGAATCTTTGTTGTTACATATTTTTTAAGAATTGCTTTGTTCAACTTTTAAAGTGTACAACAAACTCTTAGTTATGTTGAAATTTTTGTTTCAAAGTATATAACAACACTGCTGATTTTTGTAGGTTGATTTTGTATCCTGCAACTTTACTGAATTTATCAGTTTTAACAGTTTTTGGTGACGTATTTAAAGTTTATAAAGTATATATCATGTCATCAGCAAATATAAGACATATATAAGACCATGTTGTCAGTAAATAGAGGCAATTTCACTTCTTCCTTTCCTATCTGGATGCTTTATATTTATTTTCCTTGCCCAATTGCTCTGGCTAGGACTTCTAGTACAATGCTAAATAGAAGTGATGAGAATGGATATCCTCGCAATGTTCCTGAACTTACAGGAATTGAGTATGATGTTAACTGTGAGCTTTCATATATGATATGCTGAAGAGATATCTTCATTCCCATGTCATTGCAGCATTATTCTCAACAACCAAGATATGGAAGCAAGCTAAGTACCCATCAGTGGAAGAGCATATAAAGAAAATGTGGTGTATATACACAACAGAACTATTCAGCCTTTAAAAAAAAAGAAGAAAATTATGTCATTTGCGACAACATGGATGAGCCTGGAGGACATTATGCTAAGTGAAAAATGCCAGGTACAGAAAGTCAAAAGCTGCATGGTCTCCCTTGTAGGTGTAATCTAAAAACGTAGAACTTATAGAGGTAGAGAACAGAATGGTAGTTACCAGAGGCTGAGGAGCAGGAAAAAGAGATGTTGCTCAAAGGTTACAAAGTTTCTATTAGAGAAGAGGAATAAGTTTTAGTGATCTACTGCACAGCATGATGCTAATGTTAACAGACTTTGAATGTTCTCACCACAAAGAAATGTAAGTATGTGAGGTGATGGTTATGTCAATTAGCTTGATTTAATCATTCCACAAGGTATATATCTATCATAACATCACATTGTACCCCCAAAATATAAACAATTATTTGTTGATTAAATATAAAATAAACCAAAAACTATAAAAAATCAATCATATAACAAATATTTTAGTCATATTGAGAAAATTTTATAGGTCTTGGATAATTTTATTGTTGCATTTGACTGGTTTAATGTGTTTTATGTATATGATTTCATAGTTGAAGGTAACTGGATGACAATTACTGTATTGTCATAAAAATATCAAACTGATATATGTATTTGATGTGTAATCTCATGCTTTCTAATGTTTTGATAACCTTTATTTTAGAAGTCTATTTTGAATGTGCATTTCAATATAAATACAAGATAATTTGGAAAGTTAAAAAATTCCTTTAGAATACTAACGTTCAATTCATCCTTTAACAACCTGGCTAAAATAATGCTTCCCCCTAATTTTACTACCTTTTTCCTTCTTCATTCTCATATTAGCAGAGCTCTCTTCAATGGCAGCATCATCGGCAAAACAACTCTGCCAAATTTCTATCAGAATCCTGAGCAAAGATTGTAAACACTAATCTCATAAAGGCTTCTGATGCCACCTAGAATTTCTCCTGAACCTGCAGATAACTTTTATTTCAGTTAATTCCATTGTGCCTTTCATCTCTGTTACCTTTGGCCCCACCTTGAATGGAAGTCCCTTGTGACACTTCTTTTTGAGTCTGTAAAAGCTGTACATTCACTCACATTGTCCACACTTCCTCCCCAGTGATTTTTTTTACCCACTCTCCTCTTTAAAATCCCACATATTTACCTTTTCCTAGAATACTCTTACTTCCTACCCCTAATTGAATCCTCACTCACCTTATATTAATTATTTGACATTTACCAGTATGATGGCACAACTATTAATATATGCCTCACAATATACTTATTCCAGCTTGAAGTGTTCTTGCCCTCAAGAAGTTCAGTATAGTGTTTAAGACAGACAAGTAAAAACAAAACAATTACAGTTTCATTAAAAGAAAAACGATCAAGGAAAAGGGAAAATTTTGTCTCCACCCTTTCTCCAACCCAGCAAGTTAACTGATTTCATTGGCCAGACCTTGTCATTCATGGTGCAAGTTACATGTTCTCATTGTTTGAGGCTAGTATTACCCCAATGCAAAAACCAGACCAGGATACAACAACAAAAAAGAAATCTACAAGTCAATATCCCTAATGAACATAGATACAAAAATCTTCAACAAAATACTAGCAAACTGAATCCAACAGCACATCAAAAAGATAATAACAGACCATGATCAAATGGGATTTATCCCAGGGAATGCAAGGATGGTTCAACACATGCAAATCAGTAAACATCAAACATCATATCAACAGAATTAAGGACAAAAACCAAATGATCATCTCAGTAGACACAAAAAACATTTGAAAAAATTCAACATCCCTTCATGATTAAAAAAAAAAATTCAACAAATTAGCATAGAAGGAATGTACTTCAACATAATAAAGCCCATATATAACAAATGCATGATTAACATCACACTGAATGGGGAAAAGCTAAAAACCTCTCCTCTAAGAACTAGAATAGGACAAGGATGCCCATTTTCACCACTTTATTGAAAGTCCTAGCCAGAGTAATTAGGCGAAAGAAAAAAAATAAAAGGCATCCAAATTGGAAAAGGGAAAGTCAAATTGTCCCTATTTGCTAATGATATGAGCTTTTAGCTGGAAAAACCTAAAGATTGATTCCGATAAAAAAAACTCTTATATCTGATAAATAAATTCACTTAAGTTACAGGATACAAAATCAGCATAATGGTATGAAACTAGAAATCAGTAACAGGAAATTTGGAAAATTCACAAATACATGGAAATTAACAACAGGCTTCTGAGCAACTAATGGGTCAAAGAAGAGATCAAATAGAAATAAAAAAAATATTTTGAGACCAACAAAAATAGAAATACAATATACCCAAACTTATGGGATGCTGCAAAACAGTTATAAGATGCAAGTTTATAACAACAAATGTCTACACCAAAAAAAAAAGGATCTAAAATAAACAACCTAACTTTACACTTCCAATAACTGGATAACAAAAACAAAGTAAGCCCAAAGTTAGCAGAAGAAAAAAATAATAAAAATTGGAGAAATAAACAAAATAGAGAACAATCATTTTAAAAATTAATGAAAATAAGGACTGCATAGCAAAAAGCACTATAAATAGTCAAAAAACAACTGCTGAATTATGAGAAAGTGTTTGTGACACTTATCACAGATGTAGTATTCCCTAAAGGACTTTTGAAAATGTTCTAAAATCCTCTAACAACTTTGAAAAGGTAAGTTTCAATTGGATTCCCCTTTGCCATTTAGGTCTTCATGCTCTACTGGTACTACTAAGTATAGTGGTAAACTCAAGAGTTTAGGGAGGCCAATAACTCTCTTTGTAGACAGAATGCAGATTTGCTTCTGCAGATTCACTCTGTAATAACCTCACAAATGAAAACAAGGGTAACTAAAGTTTCTGAAGTATTGCCCTGTAACAAAATAAATGAAATCCCAGTGATGATGATGATGATGGTGACAGAAGCCAACTTTTATTGAGTCTGTACTTTTTTCTTTGTACTGTGCTAAGCACTTTATGTCATTATTTCCTTTCATTCTCCTTTAAGTAAGGTAGGTAGTAATTTTCTTCATTGAACAGTGAATAAAACAAGTTAAATACTGCCCAAGGTCCCACAGGGCAACTCTGCCTTGGGTATTACCACCCTATAATGTAGAGGGTGTTGAAAGGATTAAAGGGAGCCATGAGTGATGGCTCATACCTGTAATCCCAGCACTCTGGGAGGCGGAGGCAGGCGGATCGCCTTAGGTCAGGAGTTCAAGACCAGCCTGACCAACATGGTGAAATCCCGTCTCTACTAAAAATACAAAACTTAGCCTGGCATGGACGGGCACCTATAATGCCAGCTACTCAGGAGGTTGAGGCAGGAGAATCGTTTGAACCCAGGAGGCAAAGGTTGTTGTGAGCCGAGATCACGCCACTGCACTCCAGCCTGGGCAAGAGCGACAGAGACAGAGACTCTGTCTCAAAAAAAAAAAAAAAAAAAAAAAAAAAGGATTAAAGGGTTCAATGTGTGCTAGTTGAATAAAGATGCAATTGCTACACATTGAACCCTTTAATCCTATGGCCACCCTCCAGGTACCCTGCTGGCCCCAATCCTCCAGGTCCTGTCCTGTCCAGGCCCCAACTCACATTCAGCAGCCGGTGCCGGGTGCTCTCCTGGTTCTTGTTTTTAGGCAGGGCCATCCTGCCCTGGTCCGAGATGTTATGAACCGAAGAAATATCCGACCCTCTGATGTTCATCATATCCGATTTGCTGTAGGGATTCCTCTGCAATAGAGGGGTGGGGGACAGGGCTTGCACCCGCCCCTTCCTGTTATCCAGTGTGTTGAAAGGCCTATTTGTCTCCGAGGGTGGCTCCATCTCTCCATCTTCCGGGGCCTCTCTGCGCCCAACCGCCGGCCCACTACCGCGCAGGCGTGATCCTCCCGCAGCCTTTCATGCCTTTTTCCAGCCTGTGCGTGCCGCCTTGAGTGACCCATTCAGGTGGGGCCCCTGCTGGGAATGGCGGGAGGCCAGCATTAGAGGCGTGTGTGCTTAGCGAGCCTGGAGGGTCTGCTGCAAGCACTTGCCAGGCCATTTTAGTCTCCTTTACAAGGAAGTCGGAGCCTGCTGGTGGAGAGCAAGGCCCCTCACCACTGGGCCCAACCACTTTCACTGTCTTGTCCGCCCTTTAACCCCTCGTGAGTCCTTTTTTCCGTTCACCATTTCGTTCTAGAAGATTTACAGTATCAGTCATTACTTCGTCTACACTATCACCTGAGCTCCAGATGTTAAATATCCAACAGCCTACTTCGACATCTTTACCCAATTGTTCTACAGGCACGTAACACATTAATATTCATCTTCCCACTTAAACCCACTTAAACTTCTAGTAGGTTCCAAAGTCATTTGATACAGCAGTGTCATATCCACAAAATCTTAGAAATTCGGACACATTTTTAAATCCTGACCCTAAATATCTGAATCTTACTTTTCCCTTTCTGGCACCTAGTTTGCGACATCACACTCGAGACAACTGCAATGATTTACTCATGGGTCTGCCAACCTGCTGTCACCCATCCCTTTAAAGGACCCCATATCAGTCCTTTGCAGCAGCGGATGGAGCTAAAGGCCATTATCCTAAGCAGTTTAACAGGAGTAGAAAACCAAATACCATATGTTCTCACGTATAAGTGCAAGCTAAACAAGAACACATGGACACAAAGAGCAGGGCAACAGACACTGGCCCCTACCTGAAGGTGAGGTAGGGGTGGGAGGAAGGAAGAGGATCAAAAACTACCTTTTGGTTACTAGGCTTATTAGTTGGGTGATGAAATAATCTGTACACTCCCATGACACAAAATTTACCTATATAACAAACCTGCCCATGTACCCTTGAACCTAAAATAAAAGTTAAATTAAAAATATAAATACAAACAAAACAAAACCAGAAAATTCCAGAACTTCTTTATAGTACACAAAAATTTAAATTTGTTAATATGGAAACCAAAGGTCTACCAAATGTACTCTACTAGCTTAGGATAATTATTTATTGCTATTATTTTTGGAATGTATTCATCTTTTATTCAAGGACCAGCTCAGAGATCAACTTTTAGTTAATTCTTATAACCCTGTACACATACCCAAAAGGCAGAGTTAACTGCTATATCCAAGCTACTTCTTGGCATATCCTTGTCAGCCTAAATAACGAAAGGGAGACTCTCTGAAAGAAGCTGATGTTTATTCCGGAGTAGGCCTTGCAATGAGAATACAAGTGCCACAGTAAACTGTGCACACACACGGAGGTAAAGGAAGACAATGGTTTTTAAAGCAAAAATGATTGTTTTGAGAGAATTATCCTTGGTTACAAGGATCAATAACAAGGATGTTGACAGTCAGACATTGGATAGACAGTTGCTGGGCAAATGTCCTCCTAGAAGTATTTTTTGTATGTAAAGTTGTGGTGGCCTTTGTGCAAGGTGTGGTTTCGTACAGTCTTTTATGATAAGCCTTGTTATCAGGCATCTGTGCATGACAATCCTCCTTTTATGGCCTTCCCCAGCTCTAACTGTTAGAGTTTTTAACACAATAACTACAACTTGATTTTGACAACTTTCACATCCTATTAGTGGGCTCACACTATTAGTTGCTAATCTCAAAAGACAGAGTTCTTTGGGGGCAGGAACCTGCACCTCACCTTGTGCTCCTCAGGGAACATGGCCCAATATCCCAAGGCCTTTAATACATTTGTCATTACTTCAGATTTATACGATGTGATGTGTCAATTATTGCACCCAATGAAATAATTGGGCTCATGTTATGCAACGTAAGGTATACAGCATCAAAGATGAAGTTATCTTATTTTTAAAAATTTTAACCTAAATCTAACCAAACCTCTTGACCTAACCTCCAGTCTATAGGAAATTCAGGAGACTGAGGAACAAATTAAGTGATGTCACTAGGAAAAAGACAATTCAGAAATGTAGGTGGGACACTCAAAAGCAAAACTGGCTTGGACATCTTAAAAAAAAAATGTCATGGAAAACAGCTTGGCAGTTTAAAAACTAAATATGTAACTACATATAACCCATCTATTTCATTCCTGAGCATTCATCTCAGAAAAATGAAAAGTTAATGTTCACAGCAGTGTTATTCACGAACTAGAATGAGCCCAGATCCTTCAATAGGTCAATGATTTAAACCAAACGAAACAGTAAAAGGAAATGAACTATTGACACACATAAAACTGAGATGACTCTCCAGGGAATTATGCTGAACAGGTAAAAAAAAAGCCAATCCCATAAAATTACATACCATATGATTCATTTTGTAGCATTATTGAAATGACAAAGTTTTAGAAATAAAGACAGTTTAATGGTTGCCAGGGTTTAGAGTTTGGGTGCAATGAGAAGAGTACAAGGAGGAGATGGATGTGGTTATAAAAGGGAAATTCTGGTCAGGTGCAGTGGCTCTCACTGTAATCCCAGAACTTTGGGAGGCTTAGGCGGGCAGCTCACTTGAGCCCAGGGGTTGGAGACCAGCCTGGCCAACATGACGAAACCTCATCTCTACTAAAAATACAAAAATTAGCCGGGCATGGTGGTGCATGCCTGTGATCCCAGCAACTCTGGAGGCTGAGGCATGAGAATGGCTTGAATCTGGAAAGTGGAGCTTGCAGTAAGCCGAGATGGTGCCACTAGACTACAGCCTGCGTGACACAGTGAAACTCTGTCTCAAAAATAAAATAAATAAAAGGGAAACATGAGGAATTCTTGTGATTTGGGAACCGTTCAATATCTTGATTGTGGTAGTAGATATACAAACTGACACAAGTGATAAAACGGTATAGAACTTGAAACACAGAGAAGTATGTAACTGTTGGCACTTTATATCAACAAATGTCCTTATTTCTAGAAGATGCATGCTGACATATTCAGGTGAGTGCCATGTTAGTAACTTACTTTCAAAAGGTTTCAAAAGAAAAGGGGGTATACACAAAGATAAAGCAAACGGGACAAAATTTTAACAAGTATTAAATCTAGGTTGATCTAGACGACAGTTGCAATTAAAGTATCTTTGAACACTTTAAAATAAAAAATCCTAAGGATTCACTCACATCTATAGCATTTTTCTCATCCTGTATCTCCACCGGAAGTCCTCTCTATCCTATAAGGCCCCTGCTCACACCCAACCTTACCCATAATTCTTTCCTAGATTACTCCACTCCTATGCCTATTAATGTCTCTCTGACTAGATTATGAGCCTCTAGAAGGCAGGTACCAAGTTTTATTTATTAATTTATTTATTTGTCCTTCCGCAAGCCTAGCAGCAATTTGACCAAGATTGAATCACCTACTGCAATCTGAGCTTTATTTTTCATAATAGACTACAAATGACTTATGTAAGCCAGAGGTCCCAAATGCTGGTACTCTACTGGCTATATCATAATCACCACACTTTATTCTCTTTCCTTAAGAGATGAGTCTCACTCTGTGACCCTGGCTAGAGTGCGATGGCATGATCACAGCTCACTGCAACCTTGAACTCCTGGGCTCATGCTCTCCCCCCAGCCCAGCCTTCCCAGTAGCTGGGTCTACAGGCACACACCACCACACTCAACACATTTTTAAAGTTTTTGTAGACATGGAGTCTCACTATGTTGCCTGGGCTCGTCTTGAACTCCTGACCTAAAGTGATCCTCCCACCTCAGCCTCACAACATGCTGGAATATAGGCATGAATCACCATACCTGGTCCTGATATCTTTTTTAAAATCTAGTCTTCCAGGAACTGCCTCAGACCTATTAAATCTGAATCTCTGAGGATGAAGCCTGGAAGTATATATATGCTTTGTTCTGTTTGATGGGAGAGAAAAGGGCAGGCATTAGTATACTGTATTTTGCAACAAGAAAACCCCCCACTGGGCATCTTGCCTATTGATACCTCAGAAACTCTATTACTCTACACATACTAATGTGGGGAGAAAGCCAAGAAAGTTGATGATTTTTGAGCCAATCATCTGATTACAAGGTTAGGACCTCCAGTGGGGCTCCAGTTGATCAAGTTTGGCTTCTGCCACAGCAATTTTAATAAGACAGTGAGAACGTCCAGATGGAGAAATGAGTTAACTATCAGAGCCCGCAGAGTTTTGGTCTGATGCCTTGAGCTGCCTGTGTTTAGTTCATGAGGACAGGTCTACTCAACTGCTAGTGCTTGTAAATTTCAGGGGCTTTCCTCCCCAAAGTCTAATTGGCTAGGAATTCTTTCTAGAAAACTGAGCTCTTTGTACCTGGCCAAGGGCTCTGATCAGCAAGGTGCTCCTGTGTTATCTACCCAGCGCAGTGCCTCACCAGGTTGGCAATAAAAGTATTTTAAGTCAGTAATGAGAAATGAGAGAGCATGAGTAATGATAAACCAATTGGACTGGATCAGCTTGCATGTCAACCTAGTCCACGGTAAGCTGGAGAAAGTTACATGAATTCACATGGACAGCCTTAGCAACATGCCTCAAGTGTCATTCCCTACGTCCTGGAGACATGCATTAGCAGTGAACTTCTTCCAAACTTCCCAGTCATCTCGGTCAATCTTTGAGAGACATCAGAGACCTCAGGGAAAACACTGAGTTCCCTGTACAAGTCCATCAGGGGAAACAAAGACTTGTACAGGGCTACGAGCTGCTCAGGTTTATGTGCCTCCTGGGTTATTAGGAGATCTGAAGTCTAAGTTGTACTTCCCAGACCTGAAAGAATTCAAAGGCAACTATGCCCATGCTAGTTACAATATTATCAATGTAGCCAGCTTTCCCAAGTGCGTTCCACAGCAGCTCTAGCCTTCTTTATTCTCTAGGATGTTAGGAGCAAACCTCCCTCCAACCATATATTAGCTTTCTACTGCTGCCATAAAAAAATCACCAATTTAGCAGCTTAGCCAACATATACTTGCTGTCTTACAGCGCTGTATGTCAAAAGTCTAACATAGGCAGCACCAGGCCAAAACCAAGGTATCCACAGAGCTGCATTCTTTTCTTAGCTCTAGGGGAGGATTTGTTTTCTTACTCACTTGGGATGCTCACAGAATTCAGTTCGTTGCAGATATGTGACTGAAATCCATTTCCTTGCTCATTGTCGGCCAACGCCCATACTCACCTGCAAGGTCATCACTCTCCTTGGCTCATGGCCCCATCTTCCATCCTCAAAGCCAGGAATATCACAACTTTTGACCTCTCTCTTTGACCACAGATATGAAAGGCGCTACTCTCTGCTTTTGACTCATAAGATTACACTCGGCCCTTCTGGATAATACAGGATGTCCCCATTTTAAGGTTCACAACCTTAATCATATCTGCAAATCCCTTTTGCCATGCAAAGTAGTATATTCACAAGTTCCAGAGATTAGGACATGGACATCTTTAGGAGACAGTATGCAGCCTACCACAATCCCCCACATTGGTAGCAGCTTTCTCACATTTCTCCTTGATGACACTGCTCACGTGTGCTAAAGCACTGCTGGTCACAGTGAAAGCTGGAACTGGCAGGGTGCCTTCAGAACTGCCAGCAAATTAACAATTCTGTGGCAGCAGGGAGAATCCCTTTCAGCAGCTCCAGCCTTACAAACAGCAAGAGATTCCTAGTATAATGTTCACACCAAATTTAGACCTATTCTCAGGGCCACCCATCTCTATCATCAATTTGTCAGTCCTCTTCTGTTCTGACATTCAGTTTCTTGCTAATCAGGGCAGGCCCAATAGTTTTATCGTTGTACTCAATGGCCTTTGGGATATTTTTTCCCGTAGCTAGTCTTCTCATCATCTTGACCTCTATGGTCTCACACGCAACAGCTGAAGTATCACTGGATATAGCTCTGAAGAGATCTTTTCCAGTTCAGGACCCATCTCAAGAGTGGGATTTCCTGGAAAGCCAAAAACCTCTCTGACAAAGAGCTGGAGAATAGAGATGGTGAATTTCTACTCAAATTTATTGTTGCTCAAAAAAAAGACACAGAGGAAAGGGTACTGCAGATGTTAACTGGGAGCCCAGGAAGCTCACAGGTCTCTCCTTTGTTCCCCTGAGCCTTGCCCTGTTCAGCCTCTTTTGCTACATAGATTTTTTTTGAAACTCCCTCTATGATCCTGATGTACCACCAGATAAGAGAACCACTAGTACAATTTATAATGAGAAGCAACTTTTTAGTTACCTCTAGGTAAAAATTTTAGGTTATATTATACAATTTTTCAAACAAAAGATATTCTCTTATTAGCCATAATGTAAAGCATCTTTAAAGCTAAATTACATAATTATTCATGATACTCAATCACTAAGCCAGTTTCGAAAAGACAAATTTTGTTTTTCAATTTATTCAGTAAGGGGATGTCAAAAATGAAGGCCCTTCCTCCCCCCACCAAAAAAAAAAAAAAATGAAGGCCTTTTGTTTCCCTCTATGTATTCACTAAATTTACATTTAAACATGATATATATTTCATAACACTATTTAAGTTACGGCTTTTTCTGAACTGGTGCTTTTTTTTTTTTCCAGACAGTCTCGCGCCATCACCTGGGCTGGAGTGCAGTGGTGCAATCTCGACTCACTGCAACTTCCACCTCCCAGGTTCAACCAATTCTCCTGCCTCGGCCTCCTGAGTAGCTGGGATTACAGGCGCCCACCACCACACCTGGCTAATTTTTTTTTTGTATTTTCAGTAGAGACAGGGTTCCACTATGTTGACCAGGCTGGTCGCAAATGCCTGACCACGTGACCACCCGCCTCAGCCTCCCAAAGTGCTGGGATTACAGGCGTGAGCCACTGCGCCCTGCCCCACCAGTGCTTTTTAAGATAATGATTATAAATACAACTATTTTGAGAAAACAGGAAATACAAATTTTCATTTGCTGGTTTTCTAGCTCATTATTCCCTTTGTAAGATGATAATGCTGTACAAATTAATATTTGGACATAAACAGCAAATACAATTTTAACATTTTTCATATTGAGAAATGTTTCAGTATTAATTTAAAAATCTATTACAAATACACATGTACACATCTTATAAAAATACATTTAAAAATAAAAATGGGACAAATACTGGGTCATTATTCCTCCAAAGGTGAGCTGGTATTACGAAGAGGCTTTGATTTCTTTATCTTTATCAGGATATTCTTCCACCTCTGAGGAGAACATTAACTCTGGAGAAGAAAATGATCAGATCATACTTAAAATTGTTTGCCAGTGCCTCCAACAGAGTTGTGTAGCTTATTTATAAATAGTCTCTTAAAATACTGACATAATATATAGTAATAGAAAGCCCTGAACATTTCTTGACAGTGAAATATGATTTAAAAGATAAGCTGATAACAAATGTATATGTTTTACATTTTAAAATATTCAAATTTTAAATTTATTATAAACCCCTTAAAAGTAAAACATATATAATAGAGATAATACACAAAATCCTACCTGGAAATTTAAGTCACTTTGAGAATGAAAGATCACTAAACAGCTAAAAGGTCTAATTCTACAGTGATTGGATCATCTAAAATATAGGCGACAGATACAGAGGAAGGACTTGGAACTAACAAGAGATGTGTGCCAGGATATTTTAAATGAGTCATCCCATTTCATCATCAAAACAACTCAATAAGCCAGGTATTATCATCTTATTTTAGATTTACTTTTTAAATCCACATGTTGTATGAGTAACATGGCCTGGAAAGAACAGGATTCTAGAAATATTTACTAAGTAATACACACTTTGTGATTTAGACTGTACAACCCAAATGCAGTTTTGATGCCAACCACAATGTAGAATGTTATTAGCTGACGTTTTCTACATTTAAACTATTACTTAGCATAGATGTTGGCAAAATTCTCCATGCTAAGGCTTCTGAGGCAGACAGATTGTAAATTGTTTATCAAATCAAAATTAAATTAATAACCAAGGTCCAGAAAATATCCATAAAAGATGTTCAAGAGTGAAACTACTGAACATTGGCCAAGGAAATATGATTTACAATACAAATACCTAACAGTTCCTCAAGCAGCATAAAATGTTAGCAGCTTGCTAATATGATGATTCTTCTTCAGGTGTTCCAGAAGAAGTCTGAGGACTAGAGATGAGTGAATCACTGCACACTGAGCATGTTGAAACTAAGAGTACTAAACACTGTGTCAGACAATGAAGGGTTAAGAATTTGTACCAAATAGAGGAGGTAAGTATAATTTGAGTATGTGTCTGTAGTCTGACAGAGAGGCTATGTAGATGAAGCATGATTTATTTCAAATTAAGAGATACTTATCAGCAGGAGACTAAGAGAAGCAAAGACTTTCTCTAAATTACTTGAATGGTTCCAAGAGAAGAAATACCTCCTGAATATGAATAAGGACCACAGAAGCCCCTCATTAAGCAGCTCCAGACTCCAGTCCTCCTAGACACTCCTCCCTGCTTCTCTTGGCATTCTGTTACACCACTTTATTTTCTCTCTGCTTGTATCATTTTAATTTAAATGTGTCTTTGTTATTGGAATGTTATAAGCTATACCCATTGAAAGAAGGTTTATAAAATCATTATAGGAGATTTCAGGATATTCTTATACTGTTTTTTTCTGTAATACCTTCACTAAGATCCATGCCTGGCCTATAAGACAAAAATAGCCAAGATAATCCAACCAGAAGAGCCACCACGAGATTCACCACAATCCATGGCTGCAGAATCTGTTCCTCAATTCCTGCTTCCCTAAAAATGTAGAAATACTCATTAGAATGTCTTCAATTTGGTTCATATATACAAATATATCTACTTTATGAACTTTAAGAAAAAACAGCAGTCCTCTCCTAGAGAAAAACTAGTAAAGCATGAAAGAAAATATAATTTTCCTGTAAAATATACCATATATATATCATGAGAACAAGTGTTCAAAGGTTATTTAAACTCTAAACAGATCTGTTCTATACATTAATATAAATGCAAAATTAGTATTCCCAAGAAAATTTTCTCAAAGTTTCCCTTCCAACTACCATGACATTACTCATCAATAAAGTATCTTTGCCTTCTCTTCACCCAATGTCCCTAGCCACTCTCTCAAAATGCTGCTACATGCAGCATTTTGCGGGAGGGGAAGACTGCTCCTCTGAGTTTTAAGAACTAGAATCTCAGCCATCATGTCAGCTTCATGGCTTGTCACTAATCTGCACATGTTGGTTCTCCCTATTCTGCTCTTTCTAGCATTGCTTCGTTTTCTGAATCTATCCCAGCTACTCACTCCCACCACTGTTCTGGGATATGAAACTCCCTGATAGTGAGTAAGGATGCAGGGCTCCTTCCATTCATCATATGATGACTTATTTTAAAACTATAACTTGGTTGGGCACAGTGGCTCACGCTTATAATCCCAATACTTTGGGAGTCCAAGGTGGGCAGATCACCTGAGGTCAGAAGTTCAAGACCAGCCTGGCCAACATGGTGAAACCCAGTTGCTACAAAAATACAAAAATTAGCCAGGCATGATGGCGGGTGCTCTAATCCCAGCTACTTGGGAGGCTATGACTACAGAATTGCTTGAACCCGGGAGGTGGAGATTGCAGTGAACCAAGATCACACCATTGCACTCCAGCCGGGGCAACAGAGCAAGACTCTGTCTCAACAAACAAACAAACAAAAAGTATAACTTGAAGATCTAAAACAGATTTTTAAAAAGAAGATATTTCATTAAAAATCCAGGTGAATATAACAATAGTTACCCATTAACTGAAGGAATAAGTATTTTCTTGCCATAGGTTTGGAAACAAAAGCAGAGCCTTCATTATTTATAGATAAAAAAGAATGAAAGGATAAGAAAAGTTGCTGTTATTGCCATTAAAAATTGCGAAAGTCATTGTGAATTCTTACCAGATGCTCCCATTAACGGAAGACGGTGTGTAAAGGTGGATTCTGTCACTTGTCATTTGCTGACTCAGAGATAGTATTAGAGCAGTAAAGTATACTGAGGAAAAGACAAATGAAATTACTAAAAATTTTTAACAACCTGGTTTATTTTGAATTTATAGATGAATATCAAAAATAATCTGTACTTTGGTGACTGATGATATAAAAGAAATTTATTTGACCAAATAAATATATTTCAATAGGCTAGATATTCTTATATAAATTTCCAAGAACAATAGGTGCAGAAGGATCTCTTTAGACGTTCACTATTTCATCACTAGAAGTGACAAGAACCTAGAAGATCTTTTTAAAAGTTAAATGACTTTCTCAAGATCTTAAAACTGGTTTTATTAATATTCTCAAAACTTACAACAAAATGCATTCCAAATGATCAGAAAGATATAAAATAGTGTTTGTTATTAAAAGGCCATATCAGCTGCATCTGTTTAATGTCAAGTAGAAAATACGAGTTTAAAAGTAAGTAATATAGTACAACAAATGAAGCTTTTCAAAATTATTTAGATGAACCTCTTGAAAAATAATTCTATCAATATTATGTCTACTCTGCTTCTAATTACAAAGTCACTGAACATCTCTAGGCAATGTTTAAAAGAAGCAATAATACAACTTGTTAAAAAAATTATATTTTTCCTGGTTCAAAATTATGGTATAACTCAAGCATTACACAGTTCTCAAGTTAAACTGTTTACTCACAGAAAGATGCTAAAGCTGTAGGATCCAGGGCCAAAAAGTTTCTGACTGCTATTGATATTTTAGCAAAGTCAATCCTAAAAAATATAAGAGCTTCTTGTCACAGTGCAGTTATAAACTTTCAAACAAAACATACTTTCTTGACTATAGTTTTTTCCTTCTCTATTCTAATGCTACCACATATACTATTACTAGGTTTTAAGTAGCTACAGTTTATACTTAACACGCATGGAAAGATTATCTTCTTTACAAAGGCCACATAAAAACATCTAATCAGACTACTTTGGGCAACATTCCTTTGAGGTTAAGACATCCTAAAGAAAAACTTGATCTATAATATGTGATTAGTTTCTACCTCTTCCTATTACCCATATCATTAGGCTATAGTTAGGTGGGTTTTTTAAAAAACGGGTTAAACTGTGTTCCCAAAAAGATATGTTGAACTCCTCACCCAGAATACTTACAAATGTGACCTTATTTGGAATCAGGGTCTTTGCAGATGTAATAAAGTTAGGATAAGGTCATTAGGATGAACCCTAATCCAGTATGACTGGTGTCCTTATTAGAAGAGACACAGATATAGAGATAACGGGGGAAAGCACTGTGTGACAATAGAAGCAAACATTGGAATGACGCATCTACAGCCAAGGAATGCCGAGGATTGTCAGCAGCCACTGGAAGTGAGGGGAAGGGTATGAACCAGACTCTCCCTCGGAGCCCTCAAAAAAGGAATCAACCCTGGCCACATCCTGATTGCAGACTGCTCACATCCAGACCTGAGAGAGAATAAATGTGCTGTTTTCAGCCACCCAGTGTGTGGTACTTTCTTACAGCAGTGCTAGGAAACAAATACAAACGCCCTGAGTCTCACCTGATGTAGACAATATTTAGGAACTTCTGAGTTGATTATATTTGGAAGACATTTCGGACTTATGAATCAATGCTGGAATGGGTGAAGTCTTTTGGGAATATTTTCTTTACAATAGTCTCATCTCCTCAAAAAAGAACAGAGGTAGACTGGCCTAAAAACTTTTTGAAGTAATATTGATACTCTATTATTCTATTTTGAAAACTGTCATGGTCAGTGACACATTTTGCCCAGCATTTCCTCCTGAAGAAGTTAGATAGATCTGGAGTCACTGGCATTACCTGTCAAAAGCTGAAATTGTACTCAGAGTCAAAAGCAAGTAGAGAAGACTCTGGAACGGATACACTAGGGTCTTGTACTGTTGCAGAAGGTTTGTGAGGTTGGATAGCTGATCTCCTGCTAAAATATATATCACAACAATATTCCACACAGCACAGCCAGCCAAGAATCCATGAGAAAAGAGACCAATCATCCTGAATGGAAAAGGGTTTCATTATTATACATGAATTACTAAAGTAAAAAGCTAAAACATGTTTAAAATATCTTCATATGCAAGAATAACATTCAACAGTTCATGACAAGTAAAAGCAAGCTTTTTCTTTTTAGTTACACTGATAGGTAGATGATTCTATTCCAAAAGGATGTTTGAAAAATATAACTACCTACCATTTTAAGTTGTCATTTCTTTAACAATATTGAACAACCAAGACATTTGTTTTTTCTTTAATTATGGAACTCAGTTAACGTTTGTTTTTCTTTTTTTAAAAAAAAAAAGTCCAACGAAAGCAAAAGCATCCACCTGAAAGCCCGGTGCACTGTAAGTGCCACATCTCTGGTGGTCCAGGAAGGCTTCATGTCCATTGACACATCTATGGTTTCTGTGGTCTTTATCAACTCTGAACGATCAGCAGCCTGGAATCTCCCTAAGAACACATAATGTAATTACTAACAACTAGTGAGAGAGAACACTGGTAACCTCTTTTTTAATTCCACACTCAGGAAGCCACAAACTGAGACCGAAATATTGCTGTTCTATCTAAAAATTCACTTTGACTCAGTACCTATTTCAGAAGGATCTTTTCTTTGGGTTCCTCAAACATAATATTTTTTCTTCTTGAAGAAAAATAAGCAATGTCAATATATTTCTTCTCAAACCAAAATGAATATTAAATAACAACTTCAGAAAATATATAAACTTTTAACTCAGAATAAAGTCTAGAAACCTTTAATATGACCTAGTCTACAAAATTCTAATTTAGAGACTTTAGAAGCTTTAAAGTTTATATGTCTATACTATTGCGGTAAGTCAATATTTGAAATCTAACTTTCTTAGGAAAAGATGTCAGGATGTGTAGCATGACTTTCTGGGATGACAGAACAGAAATGGGCTGCTTCGCCACACTGTATTTATTCTAAAATCGACCACATAATAGGAAGTAAAACACTCCTCAGCAAATGCAAAAGAACGGAAATCATAAAAAACAGTCTCTCAGACCACAGTGCAATCAAATTAGAATTCAGGATTAAGAAACTCACTCAAACCCACACAACTACATGGAAACTGAACAACCTGCTCCTGAATGACTACTGGGTAAATGATGAAATTAAGGAAGAAATAAGTAAGTTCTTTGAAACCAGTGACAACAAAGACACAATGTACCAGAATCTCTGGGACACAGCTAAAGCAGTGTTTAGAGGGAAATGTATAGCACTAACTGCCCACAGGAGAAAGCAGGAAAGATCTAAATTCGACACCCTAATATCACAATTAAAAGCACTTAGAGAGGCAAGAACAAACATATTCAAAAACTAGCAGAAGACAAGAAATAACTAAGATCAGAGCAGAACTGAAGGGGATAGAGACATGAACAACCCTTCAAAAAAAATCAGTGAATCTAGGAGCTGGTTCTTTGAAAAGATTGACAAAATAGATACACTACTAGCGAGACTAATAAAGAAGAAAAGAGGACACAATAAAAAATTATAAAAGGGCTATCACCACTGATCCCACAGAAATACAAACTACCATCAGAGAATACTATAAACACCTCTATGCAAATACACCAGAAAGTCTAGAATAAATAGATAAATTCTTGGACACATACACACTCCCAAGACTAAACCAGAAGAAGTCAAATCGCTGAATAGACCAATAACAAGTTCTGAAACTGAGGCAGTAATTAATAGCCTATCAACCAAAAAAAGCCCAGGACCAGATGAATTCACAGCCAAATTCTACCAGAGGAACAAAGAGGAGCTGGTACCACTCCTTCTGAAACTATTCCAAAACAGAAAAAGAGGGACTCCTCCCTAACTCATTTTATGAGGCCAGCCTCACCCTGATACCAAAACCTGTCAGAGACATAACAAAATAAGAAAATTTCAGGTCAATATCCTTGATGAACATTGATGCAAAAATCCTCAATAAAATACCGGCAAACCGAATCTAGCAGCACATTGAAAAGCTTATCCACCATGATCAAGTCAGCTTCATCCCTGGGATGTAAGACTGATTCAACATATGCAAATTAATAAACGTCATCCACCACATAAACAGAACCAATGACAAAAACCACATGATTATCTCAATAGATGCAGAAAAGGCCTTTGATAAAATTCAACACCACTTCATGCTAAAAACTCTCAATAAACTAGGTACTGATGGAGTCTATCTAAAAATAATAACTATTTATGCCAAACCCACAGCCAATATCATACTCAATGGGCAAAAACTGGAAGCATTCCCTTTGAAAATTGGCACAAGAAAAGGATGCCCTTTCTTACCACTCCTATTCAACACAGTATTTGAAGTTCTGGCCAGGGCAATCAGACAAGAAAAAGAAATAAAGAGTATTCAAATAGGAAGAGAGGAAGTCAAATTGTCTCTGTTTGCAGATGATATGATTGTATATTTAGAAAACCCCATCATCTCAGCCCAAAATCTCTTCAAGCTGATAAGCAATTTCAGCAGTCTCACAATACAAAATCAATGTGCAAAAATCACAAGCATTCCTATACACCAATAGTAGACAAACAGCCAAATCATGAGTGAACTCCCATTCACAATTACTACAAAGAATAAAATACCTAGGAATACAACTTACAAGGAGTGTGAAGAACCTCTTCAAGGAGAACTACAAACCACTGCTCAAGGAAATAAGAGAGAGCACAAACAAATGGAAAAACATTCCATGCTTATGGATAGGAAGAATCAATATCATGAAAATGGCCATACTGCCCAAAGTAGTTTATAGATTCAATGCTATCCCCATCAAGCTACCATTGACTTTCTTCACAGAATCGAAAAAAAAAAACCTTAACCTTCATGTGGAACCAAAAAAGGGTCTGTATAGCCAAGACAATCCTAAGCAAAAAGAACAAAGCTGCAGGCATCATGCTACCTGACTTCAAACTATATACAAGGCTACAGTAACCAAAACAGCATGGTACTGGTACCAAAACAGACATACAAACCAATGGAACAGGGCAGAGGCCTCAGAAATAATGCTACATATCTACAACCATCTGATCTTTGACAAACCTGACAAAAACAAGCAATGGGGAAAGGATTCCCTATCTAATAAATGGTGCTGGTTTTATCTGGCTAGCCATATGCAGAAAACTGAAACTGGATCCCTTCCTTACATCTTACACAAAGAGTAACTCAAGATGGATTAAATACTTAAACATAAGACCTAAAATCATGAAAACCCTAGAAGAAGACCTAGGCAATACCATTCAGGACATAGGGATAGGCAAAGACTTCATGACTAAAACCCAAAAGCAATGGTAATAAAAGCCAAAATTGACAAATGGGATCTATTTAAACTAAAGAGCTTCTGCACAGCAAAAGAACTATCATCAAAGTGAAAAGGCAATCTATAGAATGGGAGAAAATTTTTGCAATCTATCCCTCTGACAAAGGGCTAATATCCAGAATCTACAAAGAACTAAAACAGATATACAAGAAAAAACAAACAACCCCATTCAAAAGTGGGCAAAGGGTATGAACAGACACTTTTCAAAAGAGGACATATATGAGGCCAACAAACATGAAAAAAAGCTCATCATCACTAGTCATTAGAGAAATGCAAATCAAAACCACATTGAGATACCATCTCATACCAGTTAGAATGGTGAACATCAAAAAGTCAGGAAACAGATGCTGGAGAGGACGTGAAGATATAGAATGCTTTCACACTGTTGATGGGAGTGTAAACTAGTTCAACCATTCTAGAAGACAGTGTGGCAATTCCTCAAGCATCTAGAACCAGAAATACCATTTGACCCAACAATCTCATTACTGGGTATATACCCAAAGGGTTATAAATCATTCTGTTATAAAGACACATGCACACCTATGTTTATTGCAGCACTGTTCACAATAGCAAAGACTTGGAACCAACCCAAATACCCATCAATGATAAACTGGATAAAGGAAATGTGGTACATGTATACCATGGAATACCATACAGCCATAAAAAAGGATAAATTCATGTCCTTTGCAGGGACATGGCTGAAGCTGGAAACCATCATTCTCAGCAAACTAATACAGGAACAGAAAACCAAACACCACATGTTCTCACTCATAAGTGGGAGTTGAACAATGAGAATAGACGGACACAGGGAGGATACATCACACACCAGGATCTGTTGGGGGTGGAGGTTAGGGGAGGGATAGCATTAGGAGAAATGCTAATGTAGATGATGGACTGATGGATGCAGCAAACCATCATGGCACATATATATCTACGTAACGAACCTGCACATTCTGCACATGTATCCCAGAACTTAAAGTATAATAAAAATAAATAAATAAATGGGCTGCTTCATAAATTTCTCTTTAGAACATTCCCGTGAAGAACATCAGTTCAAGAATCAGCACTGCAATATTGTGTGAGCAGAGCTTCAGCCTTTTTACTGTTGATTCAAAGGCTCCTTCTTATATATCTAGCAGTCCACAAATAGAGTTCAGGACGCAGGAAAGGTTCCATTTCAATTATCCTCACCAAACCAGGTTCTCAGGTGTTTGGGAGGATGAAAGACAGGGGTATGACAATTTTCCCTAAGAAAAGACAACTTCTAGGCAGACAATAGAACCACTGGTGATTTTTATGGCCAGTTACTCTAGTAGGGAAATTTCTATGCTAAGTAAAGCAAGAATAAAAATGAGGATTGAGTGATATTGCTTGAAAAAGAACTGGAGTAAATTAAATAGCCACATGGTAGATGAATAAAACCACATGACTAGAAATCATAAAACGGCAGTTCAAGTTCCAGTTCCACCCTAACCAACTGTGAGACACTGGGTAAGTCAGCCTCTCTAGACCACAGATTTCTTATTGGCCAAGAACTGCAAGATCCCTTAGATGCGATCTTATGAAGTCAGAGGTTTAAAACAATGTACACAAAATCTAAATTATAAATTTTAAGGACTAACCTTTTTGTTTCAGGTGAATTATTTAGGCAGCATATCCTTAACATATCCATGGTAGTATATGGTCATGACCATGCTTTGGGTACGTTTTTATTAAACACTGTGTTACAGACTGAATGTGTCCCCTAACCCCCCAAAGAGTTGGTATTTGGAAGTGAGGCCACTGGGAGGTAATTAGATTTAGAGGAAGTCATGAGGGTGAGGCTCTCATGATGAAATTAATGTCCTTTTAAGAAGAGGAAGAGACACCGAGCTCTCTTTGCCACATGAGGACACAGTAGCAGCCATCAGCAAGTCAGGAAGGGGCCTTCACCAGTAACCCAACCTGCTGGAACCTTGTCGTAGACTTCCTAGCATGTGGTTTAAACCACTCAGTCGGTGGTATTTTGTTATAGCAGCCTGAGCTAAAATGCACTGCAAACCCAGTCTTATAGCCAGTATGTATTATACAATGTCAGAACTATTTTGCAAAAGAATCTATACCTATAATGTTGTATTTCTTATTTAATATGGTAGTATCATCATGTATTTTCTCTCTTATTTTCAGTTTTAAAATTTATATCATTATCTGCCCCACCACAACTACTACCAATTGCAGAAAACTAGTAAAGCACAAGAAAGAATAAAGAATCAGGCAGGGGTGGGGAAGATTTTTTACATTACCCATAACCCTATAAATCCAGAAACAACCAGCATTAATATTCAAGCCTATTTCCTTCAAGTCTTTTGTGGTATGCATAGATCAAACTCTGTGTGTGTGTGTGTGTGTGTGTGTGTGTGCACGCACGCACACGAACACGCGCACAAGTGTATATGCTCATATTTTATCAGAATCTTTCCATAAAATGAAAAATTCGCCCTAAACATTATGTTTAATGAAGAATATTATTATATAGATACACAACTTACTGAAATCATCCCTCTCCTATTTCACATTTAGGTTGTTTCCAGTTTTTCACTCTCACGAATCATAGCATGATGATTAGCTTTGTGTATAAATTGTTGTACATATTTTTGCTTAATTCCTTAATTCAGATTTCCAGAAGTATAAAGGATATCCTTGTACAATTTTTAAAGAGCTCATATTCTAAAACAAGGAACTTACGGCTTTTTTCCACAAATACTTTGCCTACAGGCTGGCTAATGCCTGTGGGTGCAGTGAATACAGACTGCTGTTCCAGAGTAGTTGGCTCATCAGTGATTATGTCTTCATCTTCTACTCCTAGCTCATTGGCATACTGTAATTCTGCTGGCTGGGTTTTCCTGTAATAAGGAAGCATGTAAGAAAAATGGATGACTATTGAATTTTTACAGACTTACAGAAGGAACTAACTATAAATATAATGGAAAGAACCCTGGACTTGGAATTAAGAAATTTGGTTTTACTCAAATAAATCTGTTATTAACTGTTATATGCAGTAAGTCACTTACATTTCTGAGGGCTTCAGTTTTCTCATTTGAAAACTGAAGTGACTGAACTAGATCTGTAAGCTTGTTTCTAAATTTAAAATTGTATGATTCTATATAGACACTGATATGGTTTGGCTGTGTCCCCACCCAAAATCTCATCTTGAATTGTAATAATCCCCACCTGTCAAGGGTGGGACCAGGTGGAGATAACTGAATCATGAGGGCAGATTCCCCCATACTGTTCTGGTGATAATGAGTTCTCAGGAGAGCTGATGATTTTATAAGAGGCTTCCCCCTTCACTCAGCTCTAATTCTTCTCCTTCCTGCTGCCCTGTGATGAAGGATGTGTTTGCTTCACCTTCTGCCATGATTTTAAGTTTCCTGAGGCCTTCTCAGTCATGCTGAATTGTGAGTCAATTAAATCTATTTCCTTTATAAATTACCCAGTCTCAGGTATGTCTTTATTAGCAGCATGAGAACGAATTAACACAGACATTGATCACTATTTGTAGGTTCATTTCAAATACAAACAACAGTGCTATACATATACCTTTCACTGTTATTTCTTTAAAGTATACTACTCATTTTAGCTTAATGCTAAAATACAGTTTTACTTATTGCTGAAATAATCATAATTTGAATTCTGTTAACATGAAAAAATAAGTCACAATAGCCTATTTTATTATCTTTAAAAATATTTTTAATGTTTAATTTTGCTACTTACGTATTCTATTTGTGTTCCTCTTTTTTAGAAATGGCTCCTAAGTTTATTTAAGTACAATCTTAATATTTTTACTTTCTCAGTGGTTTACTCTTCTCAAATTTATCATTAGATTGGTTTAACTGATATTTTGTTAATACTACCTATCCTAGAGATATACAAATACAAGCATTTAATAAGACTTAATGAGAAGCTACTGTTTGGGAGCTCCAAACAAAGCATCAGGGTAATCCTGGAGAATAGTTAGAAGGATAAATAAATTCTTACTTTGTCTTCCTCCGAGGTTTTTGAATAACTGCCTCCTCAGCTGGCTCTGCATCAATACCATTTTCATTTCGTAATAAAGATGAACTAGATGCCTTTTTTTGGGTGGAAGAAGTCTCCAATTCTGAAAACAAAATAAACTTTTCAAATAACTAAAGCAAAAAAGAAAAGTAATGTACAAGATTTGTATAAGGCAAAATAACTTTAAGAATTTTAATTGGGCAAAAATATTTTCACTATCTTACAAATTTTTAACTTTTAAAAAATGTTACACATCTAAACTTTCAATGTAAAAATTGAAATTGTAATGCCAAACAATATGGAAAAGAAAATTAAGTACCCCAACACTCAGGCTGTGTGGAAGATCCCCAAGATTATCTTCAGGTTCACTGACTTTCTAGAAGGGCTCACAGGACTTGGAAATCATTACATTCACAATTATGCTTTACTACAGCAAATAGATATAAAGCAGAATCAGAAAAAGGAAAAAGTACATGACCAAGTCCAGAGGAAACCAAGTACAAGCTTCCGAGAGTCCTCTATCAGTGGAGTCAAACAGGATGCACCAATCTCTCCAGCAATGAGTTGTGACAACACATGCGACACATGTTCTGCAATGGAAGCTCACAAGAGACAGTGCCCAAGGTTAGGGGCTAGTCACATAAGCCTAGCACATACCAAAATTCCAGATGCCCAGAAGGAAAGCAGATGCTCATCAAAAATCACTTTGTATGCACAAATGCACAGTGAGCCACCTTATAATTTAAGGAAAGTTTCCTATCAGTGTAGGGAGCTGCATATCATCCAAGTTCCCAGATGCCAGCTAACGGCCAATCTTATAAGCAGGCCTTTCCAAGGATAGCAGTCTCAGGCCTGCTATATTAATTTTTCCTGCACACTGGGTAGGTATTAAGTTTAAACAAGTCAGTGAAGCCTTCTTCTAATCCACTAGCTACTCTTCCTACCTGGAAATACTAGCTTCCTAGAATACCTTCAAGACCTTATAATTCTATTGTAATAAAACACTTAACCAGCCTGGACTGGAAATATAATGCAGGCAGTAGAGCCTACCATGGTCATCCTGAACAAAATAAAATGAAAACACCATTTTTAAATCCAGAAATTTAGAAAGCTGAACCTGCCAGGCTTGGTGTACTTTGGAATGGCAATGACAGGTCCTTTTTGGTCCAAAACTTAATTGGGTTCTACATTTTCTAAAAAAGGTCACTTCTGTAAAGACACTTTTCACAAATGATAGAACTAAGTATTGGTATCCATCTTGATTTTTAAACTTGTATCCTAACTAAATTACTAAAAGGGCAGTTTTAATTAAACTACATTTACTACTAAGGAAATAAATTGTAGCATAGTTAAAACTAGTCTGAGCATCATTTCTGCCTCTTCTTCTCCTGCCATCTTCCATCCTTTCCTTCTCCTCACAGATCCTCAGTGACCATACCCCACTTCAACTTGCCTTCCAAAATTATGTTCCAGTCTCCTGACTTTTCTAGTTCCTGCCCTTTTACTCCTATCATCCTTCCATCCAATCAAAACATGCTGTTTTCTAAGAGGACAAGTAATGAGTCAGGAGAATTAATTTACAATAAATTATTCACAGGGGCCGATGTTAATAGGAGAGCCTAATCTCTCTATCTTTGTTTCTTCCCTGTGTTTCACTTTAACCCTTTGTTCTTTTTCTAATTATTATAAAAGTCATGATGCTCAAAATATAAAAACTTAGCAAAATATAAATGAAGAAAATTTTAAAAATCATATTTCCTTCTTCTAAAAATTCTACCACTTTAACACTGCTATATTCTTCAATTCTTTTTACTATGTATATGTATTTATATATTTATGTTCTGGGTTGAACCGTGCTCCAAAAAAAAGATATGTTCAAGTCGTAACTCGTAATACCTGTGAATGTAATCATATTTGGAAATAGGGTCTTTGCAGGTGTAATCAAGTTAAGATGAGGTCATGCTAGATTAGAATGGGCCCTAAATCCAATGACTGATCTAAGAAGAGGGAAATGTGAACACAGACACACAAGGAAAAATGTGAAGATGGAGGCAGAGACTGGCATAATGCTGCCACAAGTCAAAGAATGCCAAGGACTGTCAACAACCATTAGAATCTAGAAGACACAAGGAAGGATTCTTTTCTAGAGACTTCAGAGGGAGCACAGTCTGCAGACAACTTGATTTTGGACTTCTAACCTCAAGAACTGTGAAAAAATAACTGTTGTTTTCAGTCCCTCAGTTTGTGGTAATTTCTTATGTGAACCCTAAGAAATTAACATAGTATATTTTACAAAAATGGGATCTTCCAATACCTACTATTTTATAACCTTTGTTTTTTTATTTAATAATACATAACTGATGATTATCTGTGTCACTCTTTAACGTTCCTTTTAATAGGTATCTGATTTCTATTTATGGATAAAGTATGATTTATTTAGCTGGTTTCACACTGTTAAATATTTGCATCATTACCAATTTCTACTCTTATAAATAATGTTACAATTAACATCCTTAAATTACTGTAGCTATTGAATTTACTACTATTCCTAGAAATCCGGACAGGCTGTATCTATGCGCCCATGAACAAAACATGAGTGAACCCATTTCCCAGCAGTATTGGATTTTACAATTTGAAAAAAGCATTGCCAATTCGATAGGCCAAAAAATGGTACAGTATTTTATTTACCTTGTAAACTGCCCGGGACATAGAAAGACTGAACAAATGTTAGCTGTTGTTTCATTATATTGTTGTTAATACAGAATCTATCATTTCCCTACTAATCTGAAATGTGCATTTCATCATTTACTTGATTTTTCTATGCATTGAGATCTGAACTTTCTGTTTTAGTCTTGCATTTGTAGCCTTCCTTTCATAATCTATCTATATATATATATATATATGATCAAAAGAGACCTGTAAAGTATTCTTGGCTTAAGCCTTGGAGTTATTCTAGTGAGAAATATTTTACACACAAAAACAAGAAACCACTTATGGGATATGGATGGGAGAAAAAATGAGAGCAGAGAGGTTTTTTCATGCCACCAAAATGACAACTGCTATCACAACCTAACCTTGGTTTCTTCACATACCAAGAGGTAGCCTTGTCTTTTTCTGTCTCCTTTGAACAGGAGCCTCTGGGTGCTCTTTGAGTTCTTTAGTTGATGGCTCGCTGTCCTCAGAGGGCCTTCGACCAGCAGTCTGAGCAAGGCCTTCCAAAGAAGCACTGGCTATAGAAAAAACAGAGTATAAAAAAACGAGATTACTTGAGCAAAGATCACTGAATCTTAAAAAGATGGAGGAAAAGGTAACTAGAATGTTTCCTATGGAATAACCCCATCTCTTTCAAAACTAATTGTCCCACAAATGTTTACTTCCTCCTCACCTGTTAAGCTGGGAAAAGAAATAAATGAAGAAATAAGAAAGGCTGAGGAAGAAGAAAGAGGGGGCTAAAAAGAAGAGCAAAAGATAGGAGGAGGAGAAATTGCTTCAGAACATTTAGAATTTTCAAAAAGGTGGAAAACATAATAAAAACTGACACCATAGAGTATTCTCTTACTTGTCTGTTGCCTAAAAATACAAATTAGCTGGGCATGGTGGCATGTGCCTGTAATCCCAGCTACTCAGGAGACTGAGGCAGGAGAATTGCCCCAGGAGGTGGAGGTTGTGGTGAGTCGAGATAGCGCCATTGCACTCTAGCCTGGGTAACAAGAGCAAAACTCCGTCTCAAAATAAATAAACAAATAAATAAATAAATAAGAATTTTCATCAGCCTCTATATAGTAAAGTCCCTCATTAATAAATTAAAGAATGATAAAATCATCATGGATAACTGGAGTTAACAGGTAATTTATAAATTTATTTGGTCATTCATTTCAACTTCTTCCCTCATGAAATCTTTAAAAAGAATTTCAGCACATTTTGGCAGATTTGGATTTTACCTGACTACATTCCCTTCCTTGCTTTTCTTCACAAAAGAAGAAACAGAAATGTGCCGGGCGTGGTGACTCACGCCTGTAATCCCAGCACTTTGGCAGGCGGAGGCGGGCAGATTACCTGAGGTCAGAAGTTCAAGACCAGCTGCCTAACATGGCAAAACCCCATTTCTACTAAAAATAGAAAAATTAGCCAGATGTGGTGGCATGTGCCTATAGTCCCAGCTACTTGAGGAGGCTAAGGCAGGAAAATTGCTTGAACCCAGGAGGTGGAGGTTGCAGTGAGCTGAGATCACACCACTGTACTCCAGCCTGGGCAAAAGAGCAAGACTCTGTCTCAAAAAAAGAAAAAAATATATATAAATATATTAATAGACAAATGAGAAGATGCTTAGCCTCACTAGTATTTAGAGAAATGCAAACTAAAGTAAGCTACTTTTTGCCCACTAAATTAACAAAAAAAATTTTAATAATTAATATTGTCCAATATTGTTAAGGATTTAAACAATGAGACACTCTCAGACTCTACAGGGACCAAGATAAAAACTAAAGCTTCCTTGAAAGTAATTTAGCAGAGTCTATCATACCAATAATGCACACATCCTTCACCTAGCAATTCTACTGCTAGCAATCCATCCTACAAAAATACCTCTTCCCTACCACCCACTATTTTATGTAGAAGGGCAATGTTTGGAGTGAAAACTTTGCAATAATCTAAATAACCTAAAATTTTGAAATAGCCTAAATAAAGAACAGAGCAGTGATTATGGTATAATCTTACCATGTAATACAATGAAGTCACTGTTTAAGAACACAGAGGACTCTGTGTATTAAGAAACAAAGACTGTACGTATGATTCCTTTTATGCTATCTATCTATCTATCTATCTATCTATCTATCTATTTATTTATTTATTTAAAAGGGGCAGCAAACACAGAAACCTCTTAGGAATGCGAGAGGTCACAAGCAAAGTTAAAGGATCAGTTAAAGATAACTTTGAGGGGACAGGTGTGGTGGTTTACGCCTATAATCCCAGCACTTTGAGAGGCCAAGGCAGGCGAATCACGAGGCAGGCGAATCACGGGGCCAGAAGTTCAAGATCACTCTGACCAACACGGTGAAACCTGTCTCTACTAAAAATACAAAAAATTAGCTGGGTGTGGTGGCACATGCCTGTCCCAGTTACTTAGGAAGCTGAGGCAGGAGAATTGCTTGAATCCAGGATGCGGAGGTTGCAGTGAGCTGAGATAGCGCCATTGCACTCCAGCCTGGGTGACAGAGCAAGACTCCATCTCAAAAAAAAAATAAAGAAAGCTAATCTTGAGGTTTCAAGCCTGAGTGCTGGGAAAATGGCAAGTTCCATTAACATAAAATCATGAGATGTAAACAATCATTTATTCTTAAAGCCGATGATGGACTCTAGATGTGCTGAGTTTAGAGTGACTGATACAATGTCCAGGATTATTAGTGGATGACTAGGACAAAAAGGAGTTCTGCTCATTGCCAAAGCTTTAATATTTAAATGACAATGGGGCCATGCCTTCAGACTCATGCTCTAATGTAGAGATATTCTGACTGAAGTAAGATTTAAGAGCTCTGTTTCTAAATCCAGTATCTTGTTCAAGGGTCTAGAATCAACCATAGCTTAAAACCATATATGTTGTCTAGGAATAAAAGACCTTAAAGAGTCTAAGAATATCATGGAAATAAGAGTTTAGATGGCACCACCTTTTATTCCATGACTGTGTCCAGATACTTGGGCTGCCCACTGCCCTGCACCTCACCACCACCAGGAATACCACTGCTTCAAACTGGCCTTAATTCTATCCTCAATGAAGTGGTGATTCAGGGCTGCTGGGGCCTTACCTCTCCCTGATCTGGGATGTTTACTATGTTTACAAGGTTCTGAGAAAACTTGTGCTCCCACACAACAAAGAATAACATCTTACCTGGTGTGTTTTTTATTCTGGGCTTCTTTTTCTTAGGACGACTAAGTGGAATATCATCTATAAAGCAGAAAAAAAGTCAACAGAAAAGGCTGCCTAAAATCCGATGCAGAGAACAGTGGGAACTTTAAGTAGGGAAAAATTTTCCCTCCCTTCCCTGGGCCTAGCAAACTTTTACAGATTAGGGGAAGAAGGCAAGAAATTGAGAAAATCAGACAGAGCCCACAGTGTGGTACCAGTAGCACACAGCGGGTTAGTGATGTTAGAAACTGTGATACAGAAAGTGGGTGCAACAAAGATTCATCTGATACCCTACATTTCCCAGCCCCCCTGCACATAGGTGTGGTCTATGACTGGTTCTGACCTATAGGCTGTGAGCAGAAGTGATTTGTGTCATTTCAGAGCCAAACATTGAAAGAGCCAGTGAGTAATCTTCCAGCTTTCTCTTCCCTTGTGGTGACTGAGGAAGCCTCACCTAAGATGGTGGGACCACAGCACAGAAGTAGCCTAGATGCAGGCCAGGCATGGTGGCTTATGCCTGTAATCCCAGCACTTTGGGAGGCCAAGAAAAGGCAGATCACTTGAGCTCAGAAGTTCAAGGCAAGCCTGGTCAATGTGGCGAAACTGTGTGTCTACTAAAAATACAAAAAGTAGCCAGGCGGGGTAGCACGTGCCTGTAATCTCAGCTACTTGAGAGGCTGAGGCAGGAGAATCACTTGAAACCAGAAGGCAGAGGTTGCAATGAGCTGAGATCACACCACTGCATTCCAGGGTGGGTGACAAGAGTCTCACTCTGTCTCAAAAAAAAAAAAAAGAGCCTAGATTTCTGTATCAATAGTAAAAAGGCAGTGAAAAGCAACTGTCCTCTATTTTTGCCACAGCAGACTTTGTATTAATTAGAAATAACCCTGTGTGATACTAAGTCACTAAGATTTGGGGGTTTAAGTATAATATAACCTTGCCTACCCTGACGAAATGAGACAAAGGAAGGTGCAGTCCCTAATACAGAGCTACAAACTAGCCAAAAGTTATGTGCTGGGTGATCCCATTCAGGGATGAAGTGCTTTTATAATGGTAAGGTCATCCAGTGCTATATACCAATGTTAATTTTTAAATGGTAGTCATGGGAGATTATTATGACAAAAAGATATCATAGAATTATAAATTACACCATTCAGATTCAATTTTCAGAGAAACAAACCAAGGAATCAAACTAACTTTTGAACACCAAATACTATATTTAGAAAATTTCATATTGACATTAAACTAACTCACCTTGACTAACACGTCATGTAACACCGAACATATTTAACCAGCAGGACAAAGACAAAAAAAAAGAAACAATTGGAAACCTGTTATTATTCACAATGAAAACTCACTTATTACAAATTTAAAATAAAATTAGCTTCACAGTGTATCAGCTAGTTTACAAACTAGCTTATTGTTTATAATTCAATAAGCTGTTTAATAACACTGCTAATAAAATAATGCCAATATTTCCTGAACCTACATATACATATTCCCTACTGTCTATTAATAAAGTGGATTAAGCAGATTAAGAACTCTTACTTGACACTGATTAAAATCAGCTTAAACTCTGAGGAAACTATTCTCACAAACAAAAGATCAGGATTTTGATATTAAAAAAAACAGCTTCAAATAAGGTAATATTCTAAGGTTAAAAAAAATACACTAAAACAGTTAGAATGGGAATGGATCCATTATCCTGCTATGTTGATATTCAGGCTTTTAAATATAACATTCAATTATAACTGTTAGTCTTATAATTCAAGAATTTTTCACCTTCAAAATTTTAGAAAATCCCTAAATTTTTCAGAAGATTTTCCTGAATCATTATAATTTTGCAATGGTACTAGTCAAAAATTTTTCCACTGTCTTCATTTTCCATTTTTAAAGCTCAATAATGAAATTACTATATATTTTTTACCTTGGCACAGGTGGAAGGGCTCGTGGAGGACGCTGTGGGAGGAAAGAAAATGAAATTTGCTTGTAAGTAAAAGCCTAGAGAATCTTTACTTCATGTATCCCAAATATCATAAAGCTATTCTTTTTTTTTCTTTTTGGGATGAATCCTGCTTTGTTGCCTAGGCTGGAAGGCACTGGCACGATCTTGGCTCATTGCAACCTCTGCCTCCTGGGCTCAGGCGATTCTCCTCTCCAAGTATCTGGGATTATAGGCACCAGCTACCATGCCTGGCTAATTTTTGTATTTTTAGTAGTGATGAGGTTTCAACATGTTGGCCAGGCTGGTCTTGAACTCCTGACCTCAGGTAATCCGCCCAGCTCAGCCTCCCAAAGTGCTGGGATTATAGGAGTGAGCCACTGTGCCCAGACAAAGCTATTCTTTCATGTCTGTTGTTCTGACATGACAGAAAAATATAATGGATCAGAAATGGGATCTTCAAATCTCTTGATAATCCTGTTTATCAGTGATACTTGAGAGGTACTGATGAAAAACATAGGCAATTTAAAATTCGTTCTGCCATTCTAAATTTCATATAAAATTCTTTCCTTCCTACATTCCTTTCTATCTCTAGGCCAGGCTCTTTTCTAAGCATTTGGGATACACTAATGAACAAAACAGAGAGAATCCTGCTTTTATGGAACTTACATTCTAGTGGTTGAGTATTAGAAACAATGTTAAAAATATATATGATAATATATACTATCATGTGCAGCATATATGATAAAATATATATTATATGCTACATTTAAGACATCTTGTATACATATATATCTCTTGTATAGATATGTGTATATGTATACACACACATAAGAATACTATATATTATGTGCAGCATATATGATAAAATATATATTTATATGCTACATTTAAGACATCTTGTATACATATACACACACACACACACAAGATGTATGTATATATATACACAAAATGTAATGAATGAGGAGACTGAGTGCTACTTTTGTTGGGGAAAGTTTCTCTGAGATATTTGAGCTGAGACCTGAATAAGAAAAGAGCAACAGGAACAAATGCAAAGGTTTTTAGGGAAAATTGGGCTTGGAATGTTCCAGGTAAAAGGACAGCAAGGCTGAAGCACAATTATCAAGGAGAGGTGGTCAGGAGCCAGAGTAGTTAGAGCCTTGCCCAAAGGAAGGAGTCTGGATTTTGTTTTAATTCAATGGGAAACCAATGGAGGTTTTAAACCACATTCTAACACAATTTTTTAAAAGGCCACTTGAAAATACGGGGAAGAAACAGTTTTAGGGCAGAAAGAATGATGGGGGAAACCATTCTAAATGCTCATTTACATGAATAAGAAAAGTGAAGTTCAGAGAGCCTTAGTGTTGAGAAGTGTTTTCAGAATCAAATACTAACAGAAATGCCTAGAAGCCGATTTAATGTTCCAAGTATCTCATGCTGCTTGCAAAAGATATTTATTCAAAATGGTTAAATTTTAGATACTCTTGTAGTTTGTCTCATTTAGCAATCTATTCGTTAGAACAGGTTAATGCAGATTCTACAAGATTAGGACGGGGCAAGCTGCCGTAATACCATCGGGTAGTCAAAATTACATCCGTAAAAGAAACAGTCACGGGAATGCGTTATTGTTCTAAAGATGCTACCAAACGCGCGATCGATCTAAGGAATCAGTTCACGTCACTGATTTCAAAAGTCCCGCAAAAATGACGTTCCACCCACCCAAAAACCCAATCTTTAATCCTCAAAAGTAGGACGACTCAACTGAAGACAAAAATCCTAACAGCTAAAAGTAGCTAAGGCTAGCTTACCACAGGCTTCTTCCCCATTCCGCGTATAGCCAGCCCCGGCCGCCGCCGGCCCCCAGGCGCAGGGCACCCCACCCGTCTTGGCTCGGCCGCGCGCGCAGGCGCAATGCGTCATCGGGCCGCGCCGCTGGGCTAATTCCCGGCGCTCAACCCCCTGGGGGGATGTCGGGGTAAGAGGCACGCTGGGACGTGGACTGGCCGTCCCAGACTAGCCCTGCCGAAAAGGGGACCTCGGAGTTGGGGGTGATATGCCCAGGAGCAGAGATCCGGCGGCCGTAGCGCTCCAATCAGTTCCCGTGGTTTCCTAAGTAGTCGCCGTGATTTGTTTGCGGGGAGTGGGGAGTGAAAGAAGACCTTGGTTAAAGAACTCCGCAGGCAAACAGCGATCTCTCTTCTGGGCGGCTACAGCCTTCTCCTCCAAGGAGTTTAGGAGAGGCCCAGCTGGAAGCCCCGGAACCCACCGGGCCCCAGACCCCAGAGAAGTGAAGCGTTGTTGTGGCAACGCGGGCTCAGGCCCCCGGAAACTTCATGGCAGTCCCCTCTCCCACTCCTAGAGTTCGGGTCCCGGCCTCGCTTGGGTCCCCGTCCTACTCCTAGAGGGGCGGATGCGCTCACTCCACGAACAAGGCCCTCCTCTAGTCATCCTCAGCTCGTTGGCGCCGCCCTCCCATTCGCCCTGCCTGGGTAGCTGCTGATCCTCCACCTCTCGAGGTCGACCCGCCCCTCGCCGCTCACCAGGTGGCCCTCCTCCAGCCGAGGCCGGGAGTCAGCTCTCATGGTGCTCTCCCCGCGGGGCTCTCCCGGCGCAACCGCCGGCGGTCCGAGCCCAGCTCCCCACGACGCCGCGGCCTCCGGGACCTGCGGGGACGCCGGGCTTCTGGGTGCTTGGCGAGGCCACTGCCTGCTGAGCCAGATCACCGCCCGCCTCGGCTCTGCCAGACCCTTCTGGGTTACAGACGAACGCGTTTACTCTCCAGTACCAACAAGTCTTTGCGGGCCTGGGTGTGTGGATGTGTATTAATACAGGCAATTCTCCCATTTCCTCCAGTTGCTTGCCCTTCATCCCGCAACCGTGTAAATCAGATTTGGAAAAACTTTTTCTCAAAGAACCTTAAAATCAAATCCGACCTCACATAAATATCACTACAAACGACTTAATTTCCATCGTTTTGTTTGGTTGGGTGTTGGTTTGTTTTCGTTTTTGTTTTTTTAACATAACTTTAGCAGAAAACTACAATTTTTTTTATTATACTTTAAGTTCTGGGGTACATGTGCAGATCGTGCAGGTTTGCTACATAGGTATACACGTGCATGGTGGTTTGCTGCACCCATCCCCACCCTCCTTAGGTATTTTTCCTAATATTAGCCCTCCCCAATCCTCCCACCCCCTGCTATCCCTCACCTAACCCCCCGCCCCACAGCAGGCCCCAGTGTGTGATGTTCCCCTCCCTGTGTCCATGTGTTATTGTTCAACACCCACTTATGAGTGAGAATATGTGGTGTTTGGTTTTCTGTTCCTGTGTCAGTTTGCTGAGAATGATGGTTTCCAACTTCATCCATGTCCCTGCAAAGGACATGAACTCATCCCTTTTTATGGCTGCACAGTATTCCATGGTGTATATGTGCCACATTTTTTTTAATCCAGTCTATCTTTTTTGGGCATTTGGGTTGGTTCGAAGTCTTTGCTACTGTGAACAGTGCTGCAATAAACATACGTGTGCATGTGTCTTTATAGTTGAATGTTTTATAATCCTTTGGATATATACCCAGTAATGGGATTGCTGGGTCAAATGGTATTTCTTGTTCCAGATCCTTGAGGAATCGCCACACTGTCTTCCACAATGGTTGGACTAATTTACACTCCCACCAACTGTGTAAAAGTGTTCCTATGTCTCCACATACTCTCCAGCATCTGTTGACTCATTTTTTAATGATTGCCATTCTAACACGTGAAATGGTACCTCAATGTGGTTTTGATTTGCATTTCTCTACAATTATTTTGAATCGTGCATTCTGTTTACAGTTAAAGAGGTGGGAAACATGGAATAATTGTGTAAATAAGGAGAAGAGAATGATGCAGAAGATGAACATATACAGGGACAGGGAAAGCACCTAGAAATCTCAAATCTGGGGGGAAGAAAGAGAAACAAGACTTTGTAATGGCATCCTAATCTTGCTGCCAAACAGTCTTGTTGCCCTAGACACACAGAAGCAAGTGTTATGGCACTGGCTTTTTGAGAAAAGTTTTTATTGTGAATCAACTAACAAGGAGAGAGGATTATAGCTCTAATCTGTCTCCCTGTGCTGGCTTTAAGACAGTATTTTTATTAGAAAAGGTTTAGGGAGTAGATTCTGGGATTAGTAGGTGGTTGGTAGAAGGAAATAAGCGGTCTGGAAAATCCTCCGGCGTTCAGTTATTTCATGTCCCTTCATGGGATGCATGTGCAAATTCTGGAGGAAGTCAGTGTGAAACATGGGGGTAGATTCGAGCTGTGATGCCAGCAAGCTCATTTTGTACAGACTCCAAGTAGCGATTTGTGTTAGTACTAACCAATTTCAGCCTTTTTTTTTTTTTTTTTTTTTTGGTTTTTAATCTCACAATGGAAGAAGTTTCAACATTTTAGCTTGTTTTTTATCTGCCATCCTGCATGCTCAAGAATTTCTGTTAGTCCTGGTTTCTTTAATTCTGAGACACGGCTTCAATCTTGTGATTTTCTACATATAGGTAGGTCTCTAGGACCAATCCATTGCCTTTTTCTAATTTAGGCATGCATGTAGATATTGGCTGTAAGGAAAATTAGTGTTTGTCACACCTCTGATGAAGGCAGTGCAGTTTTTCGTAGGTTTTGATGTTAGGTGTGTGAAAATGTGTATATTAAACCTTTCTTGCTGAGTTAGTCAAGTAGGCACTTTTTGTAAAAGATGTTTTCATAAAACACATTTCATAGAGTAGAATACAATTTCTAAAATTAAATGTTGCTTATTTTATTTAGGAAAGCTCCTTATTTGAATCTTAAAAGATCATGTGAAATCTGCAAAAGTCTCATACTCAGTGTCTTAACATTATTCAGATTTCTACCACAGCTTCATATGAGGTAAATGAAAAAAAATTAATAGCCAAATAGGTAACTACATAACCATACAATAAATTTTTTTCCAAATAAGATTAATAAACTGCTGCACTTTTAAAGTTGTACACATTATAGTGGGTCAAATACTGCTGTTTTAGATTGCAGTTGTAGATGGCTGTGACAAGGGTACAGTGTTAAAACTCTGGCATTCAACGAGAAGTCTCATTAAGACTCAGTATCTGAGGAAATCCATGTTGCTGGTACCCACTGAGGCTCCTCCTGAGCCTTCTGTATGGCAGACAACAACTGGGCACATGCATCTTGCAAGCTGTCATTCACAATCACATGATCAAAAAATTGACCAAACTGAGTTTCCATTCTTTGGGCCAAATTTTCCATCTCTTGTAGGTCTTCATCCTTTAGGAAAAATAGAAAAATACGGATAGTACAGACTTAGACAAATGGAAAAAATACGGTTTGCTATGCTGTCACATTCAGTTGTGTAACTACAACCAGTGAGGTCCAATAAATGTCTTCTAAATTACAAAACGTATGTTTCCATCTTTACTCTTAATGTCTGGTTGATGTTTTGTAAAATTTAGTAATAGTTTACAGACAGATTGCTCCCTTCAACTTCCCATGTGAATTAATTTTACTCTTATCTAAACATGAAGCTCTCTAACCATATACAACATAAAACGAAAGAAAATGTACCAGTTTAAGTAAAATTTAAACATAAATTTCAAGTGAACATTAATCTGATAGTAATAATATTATTTTAAAGATATAAAATGGCCACTTTCAACATGAGAATGGTATAAGCCAGTTATATTATCTATTTCTACTATTGTGAAATGTTCATTTAATGAAGATAGTTTGGCCTTCACTTGGCCCTAATACACCAAATTCATTGCTGCTATTTTCTTATTAGTTCATGACAAAATAGTAAAACTTGTCACCAATACAATCTGAAACACAAATACAAATGCAGGCACTGAAATCTTATGGCTTTACAAAGTGACTATACATACAATCCAGAAACAATTTTGTTAATTTGTTTAGACTGTCATAAAAAGAAAAAGTTAAATGCCCATAAGATTCAGCAAATACATTCATGGACTCCACTGTTCACAAGGCAAGCTGGAAAATCAGACCTCCAAAGTCATTGAAAAAAAAATAAGAAAAATAAATAAGAGAAAGAATAAAGATACCTGTGGTTGCTTTGGCAGCATATATACTAAAACTGAAACAATGCAGAAATTAGCATGGCCCTTGTACAAGGATGACATACAAATTTTTAGTGTATCATTCATATTTTTAGTTTCTGTTTTGCCAGGTAAATAAATTCTGGAGATCTGTTTCACAACAATGTGAATATACTTAATGTTAACTTAATATTAACGCTGAACTTACACTTAAAACAGTTAAAATGGTAAGTTGTATGTGTTTTTAACACACACACACACAAAAAATAAGTGGCTATAATATCTTTATCTGGGTAATGGTTTTCTGGGTGCATACACAGATAAAAATTCATTAAATTGTACTCATTTTATACACCTTACTGAATATATGTTATGACTCGCAATATTTAAAGTGTGTTTAATGTAAAATATATGTATCCAACTGGAAAACCTCCCCTGTTCTGGGATGAGATCACTGATTAATTTTACCTGGCTTGCCCCTTTATTACCATTATCATTAATAAAACTTTTTGTGAGATGCCTCCTTTTACAGATGAGATATACTCCCTAGAGCATTTTTAAAGTAAGCTTTTAAGTAAAATCTGTTTAAAATACAAATATCAGGCTTGCATATGCCCAATTTCTGTTTGGCTGTTCAAACTATGGCTCAAGGATTTTTTTAAGCTAGTCCAAAAAAAAAGAAAAAAGGATAGCATCATAGCATTTATTAAACTTTATTTTTATATAAGTGATGTCTATCAAAAAGGATAAATCATAAGGGCATTACCATTAGAAACAAAAAGTACATTCTCTAACACAGGTCCTGTAGAAACAATACAGTTTTAAATTTTTTTATAGATTTTTTTTGGTAAAATAATATTATAGTAATAATTTTATTGAGGACCTTTTAGGGAGGGGGTTCAAAAAGAAGGAGGAGGACAATGAGATCAGAGATCCTTGGCCTGACCCAACCCAAATCTCTCTCACTCAGAAATCACTGAAAGCAATACAGTAATTTTTGACTTGCTCTTACCTTGAACTTCATGTCCACAAAGTAGTCAGTAATAATCTTGGCATTTTTCCGAGATTGTTTCATACACCTCATATTAGATGGCTTTATAAATATCACATAGGGCTTCAGTTCATGTGTTCGAGCCACTTGAATATCCTACATAGAAAAATTAAATGCACATTTATTTTTTGTTTGTTTTGTTTTGAGACATGGTCTTGCTCTCTCACCCAGGCTGGAGTACGGTGGTATAATCATAGTTCACTGTAGCCTCATCCTCCCAGGCTCAAACAATCCACCCATCTCAGCCTCCTGAGTAGCTGGGACACAGGCACATGCCACCATTCCCAGCTATTTTATTTTGTTTTGTTTTTGAGACAGTGTCAATCTGTCACCCAAGCTGGAGTGCAATGGTGCCGTCTCGGCTCACTGCAACCTCTGCCTTCCAGGTTCAAGCAATTCTCATGCCTCAGGCTCCCTAGTAGCTGGGATTACAGGCATGTGCCACCATGCCCAGCTAATTTTTGTATTTTTAGTAGAGATGGGGTTTCACCATGTTGGCCAGGCTGATCTCAAACTCCTGACCTCAAGTAATCTGCCTGTCTCAGCCTCCCAAAGTGCTGGGATTACAGACGTGAGCCACCACACCCAGCCCCAGCTAATTTTTTATTTTTTGTAGTGATAGAGTTTTACTGTGTTGCCCAGACTGGTCTCAAATACCTGTCCTCAAGAAATCCTCCCAGGTTGGCCTCCCAAAGTGCTGGGATTATAGGCATGAGCCACTGCACCTGACCACTGCACCTAACTTTCTAGAGTCAAAATGAAGCTTCTCAAAATTTCTAAGACCAGAAATTAGGAATTATTTTTAGTTAGAATATAGTCTC